TAAAATCTTGTCCCTTTTATTCAACCTGCTAAGAACCTTTGCTCACTGGAAGTAAACAAAACCAAACCCAACACTTGGTTGCAATGATGAAGTACTATCTCCCAAAAGACACTCACTTTACATGTAACAGTTTTACTAAATAGAATCTTGAAGCACTTCCAGAATATATTGTCAAACCTACTCAAAATCCTCAGCATACACTTAACAGCTTCTGTGTATACAGGGTTGAGCTCTGACACACGAATAATCATTTAGGCATAGTTGAATACATAATTTGGAATATACTATTTGGAGTCGATGAGAATATTGTCAGGAACACATTGATGCACATACTCAAGCACTCGCAAGATTCAGATTTTATAAGAAGAAGAAAGGAAAAGGTATTTTTCTTCTCATCCCATTTAGCAGAGTATGTGATGATTTCCATTTTCATACCACATGTTAATGGTTTTTTGCTTTTACAAGTACTGAATGCCTTTATATGACAGGTCAATCATTAAATCTTCTGGTTTCTATCGACTAAATATTCTGTTGTACCAATGCCTAAATAACAAAGAATTTCACTATTATGTACAATGCAAGCTTTTTTAAATTAAACCCATGAAAGAGTCATCTTCAACTCCGTGACTCTGATTTTGCAACACAAATCATTAGAAGAACTTCCTTCAGTAGCAAGTAACTCAGTTATTTTCCTATTCAAGACAAATAAGCATTTTAGCCAGTTTAAGGGAGGAGAGGACAGTTACAATTTATCCCAAATGATGTTATGTACACATTTTGCAACCTGCAGTTCATTCTCCTTTCTTCTCTTACAAAAAGGAAAAAAATAAATAGGAAAAATAATAATAATAATTAAAAAATCAGACCACGAAATAAGGAGTTCTATAACTGCAAGTTCTGTTAAAATAAAGCTTTAAATTCCTTTTTGTAGCAGAGAGTTCAAATGCAGCAAGCAAGAGAACTACAGTACAAAGAAGAACAATTTATTACTACACCTCTATATAAAATTGAGACAGTTTAGAGTTTAGTGAGCCCATTCCCTGTCCCCTTTATCAGCCCATATAATATTTATCAGGTCCAGGCAGTCCCATTTGCTCCAGTGGGATAACTCAGGTGAACACAGACAAGGTATTTGAAAGAAAATGGCAGAATCAGGCCCAAGACCAGTCGATACACCTAATAAGTCATATAACCAAAACATATGCTTTTGCTTAAGATCCCAACAGTATAAGCTGTTACTTATGCAAGGACTGTCCTGCTAACCAAGGGAACAGTCGCAGGGGTTTGAAATGGCAAGATTTAACCCTCCTTCTGAACAGCAGAAGAAAATTAATGCATTTCAATAAATTGGTTGTACAATTGCTGAAAGCAGCTACAGCTAAAAAGTTAAAAAACAAAGCCAACCCGCTTTCTCCTTGCCCGAATACAAAATACTCTCAACAGGGAAATATCCAACTCCTGCAACGCGAACAGCTTATTGTTTTGCTCACTGTAAGTTAATATCTGAAGTGGTTCCTGCAAAGGTCTGGGCCATTTGGATGATTTCCCAGTGGCACAACTACCAGGATAAATCTCGTCATTTCTACTGAGTCATGAATTAGGTACACGAACGAAACTGGAAAAGAATGAAAAGGAGAAGTGGTTCCTGGTAACAGCCATAATCAGTGGCATGAAAAAACTGAGATATTTGACATCTTTATAGATTACTCTTTTGTCACCACTAAAGCTTGCTTTCCCAGAAGTTTCTTTCCCATTGACATTAATTATTTTACTTTCAAAATGGTAGTACTGTAGCATGAAATTCAACAAAACAGAACAAAAACCACAGGATCTCAGTAAAACATTGCAAAATGGACTCCATACCTTAAGGTACAGTTAGTCTCTTCCAAGCAGACCACAAGTGCCTCTAAGAAGCACCGCCTGGGTGCAAATACTCTGCCTTGTGAGTAATACAGGGAAATCAATGATCAAGAAAAGTGTGGTGTGTATCACAGCCAATCATACCAGAAGGGGGAGGCTGGGTAAAAACTGGGTGTTTAGTTTAAACAGCTCCCAAACAGAACAAAACATGATTCCAAAATACTGATATTTTTGGTAAACAACCAACAGCTCCATCCTGCAAAGTTTAAACCCAAATGATCTGATTCCCAGAAGTAATCTTCACCACCGCCCCTCAGTTTTTGTTTGGCTGTTCATGTAAAATGACTTGCTCAGGCACAGAACCATTTTGCAGGATCATAACTTAAAACACTGTGAAGGAGAGGAGTAACACCACAGAGACACTACAACAGCAGGATGCTTTCTCTCCATTGTGATTACTTCAAAGTTGCCCTTTTTATTAGTAGGGTAGTGTACAATTTTGATTCATTCTTTTTTGAAAACATAAATAAATAAAAAAAATAAGTAAAGGCATGTTTAGAGAAAAGAGAGTATCTTTTACAGGCAACTACAAAAATCGGGTTGCTCTTGTTAAAGAGCTTCTTTTACCCTCCGTACTTGCAGCTTTCAACTGCGGATAAACCAAAACCAGGAGGCACATTCAGTAATCTAACCCAGACTGCGGAGGGAATTACTGGGTACACGGTACTCTGGGGCTGGAGAGCAGGAGATGTACTGCACAATGATCTGAAATCAAGCTGTCATCAGTTTCCTTCCCAAAACCTTTTACTGGGTAAATCTGAATATTTCCCTCATTCCCATTTCTTAGCTCTCTTGTTGTATTGCACCCGCATGCAGCCATCCCTGGTCCTTTTGTTTATCTTCCTGAGAGAACCAGGGCTGTTGGGAGATGGTTTACACCACTCCTTGGAAGATCAAGTGGCTCTCCCAATTGCTTTTAGATTCACAGAGCTCTGATTTTACAGTCAGATCACCGTGAGTACATGTGCTACTTCTGTTATTTCTGACTCAGAAGCACAGTGCTAAGCAGGGGTTGGTAGCTCATTGTATTAGGTGGGCAAACTCCAAAATGTCTGAGTGGACATTAAGGCACTTGCTGACACCGTACAGGTCAGAAGAAGCAGCACAGCCCACGTATTTTAAATCAGACTCTAGCTCAAGGTTTTACTTTCCCAAACTTCTCCTGAAAATATCTTCACAGGGAGAAGAAAAAAAAAAGGAAAAAAAAAAGGCAGAAATGAAACAAAAAAAAAACACACCCAAAAAATCTCCTCTGCTGCCGTCTTTGGAAAAATCCATCATTATCCATCAAATCACTACACTCAGTAAATGAACCCTATTCTGCCCATGGACACCTCCTGCTTACTCCCATGACTCAAGTCACCCATATACAGAAGCAACCACAAGGCAACACCCTGGACAGAAAACACATTAAACAAAAAACAGCAGCAAAACTTAAAACACCTTTTTTTTCCCCCAGTGGTGAAAAGGGGAAATTGATCAGCCAGAAAAGATGAATTAGCAACCTTCTCTCATGCCCACCTACATCTACTATGAAAGCCCCAAGTCAATGGAAATTACACTTTTCTTCTTTCCCTCCCTACACCCCTGCCTCAGCAGTAGTCACCAGAGTAACACCTACAAAAAGAGAGCCAAGTAGCTCAAAGGGAAAAAGAAAAATAAAGAAAAAAGGAAAGTGCTTCTAGGTAAGATATAAAGCTGGTATGACCTCTAGTCAAGTGGCAGCAACCTCACTCACAGGACCACAAGGGACTTGAGTATCTCACAAGTCCCTTCTACAGGCAGCAGCCCAGCAGTACTAGAGCTCATAGCTGTCCCTTCATACGTTGTGAATCCTCCCTCTCCCCTCTCCAAACCTGGTTCTGTGTAACAGACCTTCATTTCATTGCTGCCAAACATTAACAGCCTTTTCTTTTCTTTTTAATCAGGAGAGGAGAATTGTAGCATTAACAAACAGAAAAATAAAAAAGGTAATTTATAACCTGCTGCTCCACTCTGTATTCACTGGCGATGAACAAACATATCCTGTGGTTTGCAGGACAGACCTAGCACAGATTGAGGTGTTCATTAACATAACTTCAGGGCAATGAAAGGTGCCATCACCCTAGGGAACGGGCTCACAAAAGAAAGTGTTACTAGTCCAAGGGCACGCAGCTTACTTCTATTTTTCAGAAGAATAGGCAGAAAGGGATGCACTGAAAAAAATCATAGTGGGAACTGCTTTACAGCAAGAAGATAATAGCATGTAGATCTCTAAAACTGAGAATGGGAAAGGACTGAGAGGACAAAAAGAGAATTACCTTTTTAACACTGCAGAAATCATTGCTTTAATATTAACAAACAGGTGCACGTTCAGCTTTGCAAGCGGCTTTGTAGCATAAAGGAATGCTTCAATTCCCGCTGATCCCATCCAGTGATACCTTAGAGGGATTATTTCAAAACTAAGTTTTGATTAACAAATTCCAGCCCAGTTAACAAGTTCTAGTTTAAAAGGGTAACGAACAGATTTCAGCGGGCAATTCCCAACCTAACTTCAGCTTTAACAATGGATGGATGAAAAGTGGGCATTTGTTGAATTCGCCCTTACGGCAATGCCTTTCAGGCTACCAGGAATCCCAAGCCTGAGGATTCGCTGCATGAATCCAGCATTTGTAACACCTCCTTGAAATACAAACTATAAATCCAAGCAAGCGTGGTGAAACTGCTGAATAAGAACGAGGCATTTATTGTCAGTCTGGCATGCTCGCAAACAAACACCCCACACGCACGCTGCGGCGCAGGACAGACGAACCCAGTGTTCAGCACCATCCTCCCAACAACCACCTCCGAGAGCAGACCAAACCGAGCTGCAGTCGCTTAGGGCACCTAAAGGAGATGCTGGGCTTGGGATTTCTTAAGGAATATTGAGAAACACTCCGCTTCCCATCAGTAAAAACCACCCTGGTTTTGCATAGAAAGGGGAGGGGGAGGAAGATTTAAAGTTAGAAAAGAGTCTGCAAACCAAAAGGAGAGGGGAAGCTTGATACACGTTCTGTTTGGCTGGTGGTGGTAGTGCTCAGATCATGCGTTTTTAAACTCACCCTTCACGCTCTGATGTTTCTGCTGCTGGAAATAGTCTTTAGAGCCTCTAGCACATCGCAGCTCCTGCGCCCTGGGCAGGATGGGGATCCTCTCGAATATGCTGGCTCTTTTAGGGATGAAATCCAGCAGAGGCGCTGACATCTCAGGGGGGCTCTGCTGAGGCTCCGTGCGGTCACCGCCGTTGCTGACCGCTACTTTAAAGGACATCTGAGGGTTCAAGACACCTTTACCAGCGCCGGGACGAGTCCCCCGCGGCAGTTCCTTCACAGGCGCTCCGGGGCATTTATCGGTCACCTCGAAGCGGGCGCTGCTTCTCTGGCCCGCGGCGAGCTCACTGTGCATGTCCGCGCCCGGCTGCTGACGGGGCCCTCGCCGCTCTCCTGCACCGACCGGACAACACCGGCTGTCAGCCCCGCCGGAGGCCGCCTCAGCCGTTAACCGCCGCCTCAGCCGTGTGGCGGGAGGCGGCCCCGCTCGCTCCCCTCACGCACACCGGCCCCGGAGGAGGGGAAAGGGAAGGGGAAGGGGACAGAAACGCGGGGCTTAGACCTCGCCTGTGAGGGACGGGGAGGCTGGCGCCGCGCCTCGGTTTTCCTCCCTCTCTAGGCAACACCGCCGGGCTTTCCGCAACCGCTCCCCGCAAGGCGAGACCGGCCGGGAGGGAAAGGGGAGGGGGGGTGGAGGGCACAGGGCGTCGAGGCCGGTGCCTTTCAGCCGAGGCATCCAAACAGCGGCCACCCAGGCAACGGCGGACGCGGCGGCAGCGCACGCAGCGCCTCGGGGCGGGTTTGGCAGCGCCCGGCGCTCACCGCAGCCCGCGGGGTCAGCGGCCGTGAGGGAGAAGCCCGGCAGGGCTGTGACAGCCGCGCCGCCGCGCTCCTACCTGGGAGGGGCCGCCCGGGGGGACGCGCTGCCCGCCGGCTCCCGCCGCGCCCCGTCCTGCCGCCGCCGCCGCGCCGGGATCATGGGCTCAGCCCCGCTCCCCCGCCGCAGGGCCGGCTGCCAGAGTGAAAGCGGCCCGGGCCATTACCCTGGCGCGGCGGCGGGGCCAGCCCTTCGCTCGGGCTAGTCGGGGCGGGCAGGGGGAGGGCTGTGCCGCCGGGGCCGCCCCTCGGGGCTTTGACAGCGGAGCGGCGGGGAGCAGGGTCTAGCTTCCCCGGCGAGCCCCTCACGGCCTCGGAACCCTTCTCTCGCCTCACCTCCCTGCTCCCCGAGAGAGAGCCCGCACCTTCCCGCTGCCCGCCTGGCGGTGAGAGGGCCCCGCGCTTGCCCATTCCATACCCCAATGGTCCGTGGTTTCCCTCGCACTGCCCCCCTCTTCCCCTTCCCCACGAGCTTCGGCGGTCCCCCATGCTTGCACACCAGACACACAACAGGCAGGAGCCACGGGACACCCAACAGCACCCTATAAACAACTTGTGTGCGAAAGCCACAGTGACTGCAGCGTGCCACAAAGGAGCAGCGGGAGAGAGCAAAAGCCTTGCCAGCAGCCTGGGCCCGGGAAGCAGGAGATGAGACAGAGGTGGGAGCAACCTGGCCAAGGCATCCCGATGACACAGTCTCAGGTGCATTCAGTGCTTCTGTTTATAGGGTGGCCATTCATCGTTCCCTTCCTGTCCTGCAGGTGCCTGGAGCTGGCCCACTCCAGTAGAAACAATTAGGCTAGCTCTGAGCACGCAGAGCAGTGACATTTGCGCTGGCTCCTCACAGGCCAGCTCGGGTCTGGAAGCAATCTAGCTGGGTTTATTAGCTTGGGCCTGGTTCCAAGCAAACGCAGGCTGAGCTATGGTGTGCAGCTTTGCACCAGCGAGCTTTACCAGCCCACTCTTTGCTGGCACCCTGCTGCCCTGCACGCTGCTGTCAGCACAGGTGCAACACAGCAGGTCTGTAACATAGGGCAGCTCCAAGGTAGGAGTGACTTGGAGTCATCCCTGATTTACAGGGGCGTGAATCAGACAGACATCTGGTTGGAAATCATGACCGTTCACATTAGACCTAAAGGAGAGGCTTGGGAGATTTAGCATGAGGAGGAGGGACAGCTACTGATCTGGCGTCTTGCTGCACCCCTCCTGAGGAGCATTCCACAGCTAGAGACAGAGATCTTCATCTTCTGGCAGCACAGATGCTGCACAGAATGCCTCACTCACACTTTGTCCAACCCCTTAATACCATATGCCACCCTGCAGAGTAAAGGAATGGTTCAAGACAGGAGTGCTTGACTTTTTCTTGGCAAATGCTATGAATGTTGTGGATTTGGTGGGAGGGAAACAACTGTCCATAAAATACACGAGATCTCAAGGTGGAACAAGCAGTTCTGGGAGCAGCAGTACTTAGGGAGCCTCATTTGCAGTGCCTCTCCTCCTCCCTGCCCAGCACAGATGCCCTCATGTCTACTCAAGAAGCTTGCCAGCTTTTCCCCTCAAGAAGGGCAGTAATGGGGTCTTCTTCTTGTGTAAGACCACATCTTAAATTGTCAGAAGTTAATAGCTCTCCATCAAATGTGGTTAAAAACTGGTAAATGTCCTCAGAATATTAGTAGGAGCAAGATGCTACAAAAAGGGAGAAATTCCCACATGACCTCTATAGGAAACAAAGCTAAATATCAACCACCTAGCACAAACAATGGATTTTAATAGCGATGTCCTGGGGATTTTAAAAGCAAGTACGAATTGCCAGTGTATATTATCCCTCTGCATGGCTGTTCTCTACAGCCACACAACACCTCTCAGTGCTCTGCTGACCTACACCTATTCCCCACTCCTATCCGTCTGCAGGGCCACTAGGACTGAGCCACTCTCTCTTTGATTTGGAAATGCTGAAGGCACCTGGCAGTGTTACCAGAAACAGTAATTACTGAAGACACAAATACACTGTGGTAACGCTCTAAACCCCAGTGATGTGAAGAGGCAGTGAAATTTCCTGAGGGAGATATGATTCCAGAATGCAGTGTAACCAGGGTAATCCCACTCCTTCCAGTGCAGGAAAGAGGTAGGTAGGGTTTGGTGTGCAAATTATCAGAGCTGTGCTGATGCACACTGCCTGAACACTGGAACTAGAGGGGGTTTCCTAGAAAACAGGTAGGTTTCTAACGTCCGAAGGGGGAATTGTGCTACGGGATCTTCCCACAGCAAGCAGGGAAAGGACAGCTTCAGCTCGTGGCTGCTCTGAGCTCATTAGCCCACGTCATTCCCCATCCCATACCTCAGGACCCGCACGCCCTGCTCTGACCCGCAGTTTCTGTTTCTTTCCATCACTATGATCCAGAGTACTCTGCAAAACACCGGCAGGGGCCGCCACTCGCTCAGCAATAGCGCAGGGCTGAGCTGCTCTGCAGGCAGAGGGGCACGGAGCATCCTCCATACTCTGGGCACCCTCTGAGCAGGAGTTAAAACAACCTCGGAAGGCTTCAGGCTAAAGCACATCGCAGCTCCAAGCTTCAACAGCGCGTAAGGTTAAGGCCCTTCACAGCAGGATGAATTTCTACATGGCAGGTCATCTCACAGAGATGTAGCCTGCATAGCTCAAGCTGCAGGTACCCACATTCCTTCCCACCCATGGACAAAGCTTCTCTCACAGCACTGTTTCCTCTGTTTCGAGTGTCTCTGCAGCTGCCCCGTCTTTGCTGTGACTATCCAGCTGGGGATGCTCATCCCTGGGTCTGAGCAAGAGAAGCAGGCAGTGGATGGAAATCCTCCTCCAGACAGAGACCTGACACCACTACAGCTGTTCCAAAGCAACAGCTTGGCTCCTGCAGCAAGCCCACAGACATGGGAGGACCAAGTGCCCCTTGAATCACTGTACTAATAAAAATTGTTCAGCAGCTCCCTTTCTCTGCTGAATCAGAAGATGTTTCCTATGTTTCAGTTCTGGAACAAAGGCCAAGCAAGTGCAGTTGTGGTTAAGACTGTTCTATGCCCTGGGTCACTGTAACTTTGCTGTATGCACATACTGTACAGCAAATACTGATTCACCCAATGTTGTCACCACAGCCATGAACTAGATGGGTGTCTCCCCTTCTGTCCTTGTGAAAACCAGTCATTAGCCTCTCCCCATAACAGCAATACTCTTCTTGGTGGGGGCACAGGGAGAGATTTTTTCCATACTAGCCTTCTTGTTCAACGTTCCCAGTTGCCAAGGGCTGCAGTCATGGGTCACAGTATGGCCCACAGCTAGCCCAGCTGCCTCTTCCTTCTGTTAATGAAATCACCATCACCAAAGCAGACCTTCCAGTTAAGGCAGATAGGCCCTCTTCAGTCCCTGAAACTAATCCCTGGGTGTTGCTTCATTTCAAGTCAGATATGAAAAGCAAGGCTGCAATTTGGGATAAAAAAAATCCCAGGAGGAATGCAACTGCTTGCCTGCATATTCTCTCCCTAGGTCAAGTGGGTAAGACACAGGTGATAAATAACCAGAGACTTGCCCATATGCCCATTCACTCCTAGCTGGTGACCAAAGAAAGAGAAAACAGATAGTAGTCTAAGGCTAGCTCAGGTTGGGACAAAATCAGACCTCAGAGCAACTAAGAAAAAGCCAGGACATAGACAATTGCTGGTGCAACAGTGCTGGTTATGTTGATTGGTGCCCTTGGAGCCAGACACTGATGAAACACCAGCAAGATCCTTGGCATTGTGGATCTGAGCATTGCTGGTGGCAGGATAAGGCAGTGACACCAAAACCAGCTCCTGAATCACATTAGCCACATAAACTAGCAGTCCTGTACCACCACCACAGCACAGTTAGCATAACTCTGCCTGAGCACACACCAGGGCCCAACTCAAAGCTTACACAGAGCAGTGAGGAGAAAAACACAGTGTAAACAAGTTTGATACGTCAGGGTTTCCCTGCTGATACCAGCCAAGATCATGTCATTGCCACAACAGTGGTTTTCTCAGGGTCTACAGGTACTTTTGCAGACATGAAGCCTCTTTGCTCCAGACAGCATGAACCCCTGTGGTCACTACTGTCCTGGCTTGAGGTGATGCTGAATACACAAGGACAATGAGAGATCATCTCTAACAGGTAAGGGGAAACAATGGGGGGAAGGACATTATGTGAAGGGGACCCCAGTTTGCCAAATCCAGCCTCCAAGGTGTGCTCTTTACCTTTGTCAGGAGCGGACGGTTGTAACTGGCCTCCACATTATAGCTGGTCACAAACCGGATCTTCAAGAAACTCGTGGAAGCTGAAAACTCCAGTTCCCCAAGCAGTTCCGTGGGAGGAGAGGAATGAAGCAGAACGGATACAGGTAAGCTGAGCTGGGTAGAGCAAACAAGCAGAGCTGAAGAATTAATCTCCAGCTCACATACTGGAATCTCTGCTTCTACCCCAGCAGGCAACAAAATTGAATTGCAAAAGGACACAATTGAAATTGCAAGGCCTTTGTGTGACTGCTGCAGCATAGACAGAGGTGGGAGGTGTTACCATAATCACTGTTAATATAGGACAAAACAAGCTCTCTGGTAGGAGAAATAACAAACTTTGTTATAAATAACCTGGCTGCAAACGAGCTGTCGATTCACACACAGCAGTTTATTTACACAGGCATGCCAAGTCCAGACTTGTTTTTGTTTTAATTTACTGCACCACAGATAGTAAAAATGAAACAACCAAACAAAAAGTGAGCCAAAGGGATTGTCTCTGTAACTATGCCCATTTCTTGGAGGTTGCACATACCCCTTTAAGGCAGCACAAAGCCCTACTTTATAGTGGTTTCAATGACGCCCTGAATTAAGACAGCAGGGTCAAACTGACCACACGTTATCTAGCGATGTACTCAACCATTGCCTCATCACTTATAGATTCATTTATAGCTCTTGTAGTTAGAAAAAAGAAATTCCTCACATCACTGTGGCTTATCTTTCAAAAACAAATCTCTTCTCAATAGCTTGCATATTTGGGGAAATCATACAGTAATCTTGAATCTACCTTTGTCCTCCAAACACTGCAAGAAGTGACCAGCATCTCCAGAAGCTGCTGTAACACTACACATCTCTCCCTCCCTCCTGCCTCTCCAGGCAGAATGAGCTGCCAATTAAGCAGTTCATTCTAGAGGACTTGGAGAAAAAAAAGCCTGTAATGAAGGGTTTGACCAGCCTGCATTCAGGATGGGGTTATTTACACCTGCAGTTACCTTCCTCAGACATTCATCTATATTATTTCTCTGCCTCAGTCCATAAATAGATGCATCTCTCACACCATGCATACACAATGCAGGTAGGAAAATAAACTTCAGTAACAAACAAAAAGAAACAAAGACAGCACAACTTAAGGATGTTCAGTGTGTAAACCCCAATCCTCAGCATTGGGACATGCCAGGAATAGAATTGCTGGGGCACCCTTGATTCATGCCTACTATAAATGAGTTATAGTACTGGCATTATAGCACAGCCTCCAGTTATTTTGCCTGGGGATCCATATATTCAAGGCACTGAAGGCAGTGATAGCTGAATGAGCAGCCAGTCACTCTTCTGTTTCTTCTTTATTGGCATAGTGTCTGGACCACACATTGAATATATTTACTGCACAGCAGCCAAGCCCTGTGCAGAATACAGAGTTATTCGTTTATTCCAGGGCATTTCTTTGCTGTCTGTCACTGCAGCAGCCTACTGATTTGCAAACAAATACGTTGTTATCACCATTGGAGGTGAGGGAAGGTGGAGTTAGACTAAACCCCATTTCACAACGGAGGCCCAGAGGCCAAAAGCTTCAGTTTGAGCGCAAAACTTGTGACAAAGACTCACTCCAGGTTATTTAGCATTTCCCTTCAGTGTATGTCATAGAGCCCATTTCCAGTTCCAGCAGTTAAACTCAACCCTTGGCATCTCAAATGGAGCATGCAGAAACTGGGAGCCTAACAAAGAGTGGCCACCCGTGAAGAGCTGAAGTGCTGCACAGAATCTCTGTGATAAAGGCAAGGACAAACCCATTTCTCCCTGGCAATGTTCAACTCACACTAACTGTGAGACTGGGCTTTCTCTTCTTATAGCACTCGTGGTGGGTGCCGATAAACCCTTCCCGAGCTGGCTGCCAGGGTCTGAAAAGGCAACAGCTGCCTCAAATATCTATCTTCGAGCCGCAGCCTTGTGCTCAGCCCAAAACTTCGTGCCACCACCGCCAGCAAGGTACAGAGCCTGGTGCTTCCCCAAACCTGCTTTGAGCAGTGACCTCTGCTGGTAAACGGACGGGAAAGCCAGCGGTTTACAAAGCTGGTGCCCCAGCTACCTGGTCCTCAAAGCTTGCCCTGAAGGGAGTCACCCAGCCTGGCTCTTGATCAGAAACATCTATCATTAAGCCCACAGTTGAAGCGTGCTGAGCGAGAGCAGAGAAGGATGCTTATGGATAAGCTACAACAATCTTTACCTCACAGAAGGCTCACAGTTCCTTCAAAATTCACTCCAGGCCTCTCACCATACCTTTACAGACAAGATGCAGTTAAACATGACAGCATGCCCCAGTGCTGTGCTTCAGTAGTCAGATTTACAAGTTGTGTGTCAAGAAGGGAAAGGCAAAGCCTGTATTTGTGTGTTTTGGGCAGGGGAGGGAGAGGAGCTTACTATACACTCAGCACTTGGTTCCTTTGATGACTGCACGAGTACTTACACGTGCTGCTTAGGCCACAGCTCCCTCTGAAATTCTTCCTACTTCAGGAACTGACTCTTGAGGGGGAATCAAAGGAAAAAAGAAAAGAAGGAACTTACATGCCATGGCCACCTATCAGAAGAGTCAGCTAGTGTACCAAAGGGGAACTATTCCCCCTTGAATTTGTGTTTTGATCTCACGACAGGCTCCAAAGACCCCATCTTCATCTACCTCCTGACTAACTCTGCTGCAGCCCTGAGTTTTGCAAGAGCAGAAAGGTGAGGTCTTCTGCAATATATTTTGTGTCTTCTGACATCAGTGTGGTGTAGGTTCTGCTCTCTCTCAGGCTGCTTTCTCAGGCACAGGCAAGCTGCACAGTTTGTTTATACTACAGGTTTGTCCAAAGCTGATATGCCAGATGCAAATCTCTACCATGAGTCTGCAATATTCTGATGTGAGAACATCCGCTTACAACACAAGAGCCTGGCAAACCACATTCCAGGTACGGCCACAGCACCCACATACATTTAATCCACATAGCAAATATGTTAACACACTACTGATGATGGAAAACATTAAGACCAAAGGGGGAGGAAGGTGTGTGGGTAGTGGGGAGGGTCCTCAGTTTGCACTATCCATGATGATTCCACCCAGAACTTCATCTTTTTATTGCATCTTTATAGAAAGGTGGTGATGGGAGTGGTGGGAGCTCAGCTGCAATAAACAGGGAAAGCCCTGCAGCTACGAAATGCCTGCCTGAATGTGCTCCAAAAGCACTGCAACCTGCCACCGTGCATCCCCTGTGAAAAGGGGTCAGCACTGCACACGGCAAGAAGCACCTCCACAGCTGAGAGTGCCTCTGGGGCCATCTCACGTGGATTCATGTGCACCCAACCCACCAAAAGCACCAGGCCCTCCCCCCAGGATCCTGCACATGGCTGGTTCCAGTAGCTGGGAGGGAGGCACATAGGCCACAGACTGCACAACTTGCCTGTGACTGAGCAGGTACCAGGAAACTCATCAGCAAGAGAACAGTACTTCTTCAGCTGCAGCTGGACGCATCTGCAGGGGCACTTGCCTTGCCCTTGGAGCCATACGTGTATCTCAGTAGGTGGGAAGATGGCTGCTGGAGGCCTTAAAACACCAAGCACAGCACACACAGTACAGCCTCTGTTCAAAGCAAGCAACAACAGAATCGAAACCACTTCATTTCAAGGGCACATTCAGGCCCCGAGCTGCCACTGGCAGTGAGACAATTCTCCAAGTGGCAGAGTGCTCCTGTTGAGGGAGCAAGTCCTACCCAGCTCCCTCAAGATACAGCAGTGTGCAAGAGCTGCAAGGACAAGGGCCATTGCATTTGTCCACCCTCAGACTGCATTTTCAAACCTGTATTGCTTAAGAGCTAAAGCCTCTATTTCATTACTCCTTTGTAACACAGAACCAGACCTGGGCCATCAACTGTGTACCTCTTCACAGCAGCAGTGGAAATAATTTCAGATACCCTTAACTCCAGCTAACCTGCAGGGAGAAGCAGATGGTTCTCAAGGTTACCAGAATGCTATCAGACCCACTTGTGCGTGTGGTACGCAATCCAGCACGAGGATGCAGCTCAGCTTTGAGATGGTTAAATGGATGAGAAATAATATCAAGGCTTGAGGGATCCAATTTAACTGCAGGTACAACAAAGCCAACTGTAAAAAAGACTTTATTTTTTCCCCTTTATACTCAGAATGCAGAAAAGAACTTGAGGGACTCTTCCTGTATCTCAGAGGTTTCACAGACTGATTATTTTTATGTGAAGACAGAAGTATATAAAAGGACTTGAAATACCAGCATGGTTTGCCAGAGGAACATAATTATTCCCAAAGCCAAAACTAGAATAAGATGTTATCCCTGTTTGAGTTGTGTGAGCCAGTTGCTGCATCTTCAGAGGGCACCCAACATCCACTTTGTATTCTTGTACACTTAGAATCATGAGCATGAGATATTGTTAAAGAGACCCTTTTAAGTAAAGGCTTAAAAAAAAAAAGGGCTACAGCTCTTTAAGAATTGCAGCTTTTAAAGAAACCACAGAGCAATCAGCTTTTGAAAGCTCTTCTGTCATACACAGAGAATGCCATGAATCACTCGTACATTAGCAGATGTCATGTGCAAATCTCAGCTGCAACACAAGGAGGACAGACCTCAAGCACTTTGGCATCAAAAAGAAGTCTGCATTTTAAGCCTGCTGCTGACAGCCATAACACTGGTAATTACAAGTCACAGCTTATAGTGGTGGGAGTGTTGCAGAAAATACCAGAGCAATAAAAATACAGTTCTGCACCTGTTTAAATGCATGAAAAATGTATTTGAAACTGTCTGGGTCAGCAGGTACACCTGAGGTATGAGCTAAAGCACTGTGTTAGCTCCAGCTGCACACTGCAATACCTGCAAATAAGCAAATTAATTTCATTAATAAGCCAGGCAGGCAAGAGGCTTTGATTACAACAGTCAAAGCTGTGGTAGAAATTAAGTGTTCAAAAGAGTGTGCTTAAACCTTTAAATATAATGGAAGGTTGTCCTCACCTTACAGTGCTTGCTGTAAGCCATCTCAGAGCAAAAGGAACAAGGCAGTTCTAATTTCCACTGTCATATCTAACAGTGTCTGCATTACAAGAAGATGACATGCCTCTGTACTGAGGAAAGCAATACACAGGTCTCACTGTAGATTTAGGCTTTTATCTCTTACCCAAACCTTACAGGCCCCTAAAGAATTATGACTACACAGCTACTCACTGTCAGCTGATGTTTCATCACACCAACATAACTGACACTGTAGCCATTTTGGGTTTTCTATCAAAAAAAAACCTCCCAAAAAATAGCACTAACAGAACTGGGAGAATGATCCAAATTTTGTTTCCTCTTAGTCACACTAAATTCATTTAGCTTGCTGTTATCTCAAGGATATTAAGTAAGGTACCTGCAGCTACATCCACACTCTTCATATTCCATACATGTTTTCCAGTGTAGATATCATAATAACTGGAGTCAGTTTAAAAACAGAGTTGTTTGTTTGCAAACAATTTGGACAGGTTTACTTCCACATAAAAAGCTTAAAAAGTGCTTTGAAAAAGACATTTTTCCAGCAGAAGTTAATGTATATTGTTCCGAATTAAACGATCTGATACCCTGCAAACATCCTTCCTATCCCCCTTTACAAAAAGATGTTGATCCCAACTTTAATTCACAGTAACATTATCTGGAGGTTTTACTAAATGCAGCAATGTTTCCTGTATGTTTCAGTGTAGATCAGAACTTAGTTTCCCAGGTCACCTTAAAGATAAAATCCAAGCTGGTAGCTTTTCAAGCCGTATTTGTGTCTTAACAATACCTTTCCACACACGCATTTTACTCTGAAGGAATAGTTTCATCTTCCAGAAGAGTGGCATGTTTTATTCCTGGGCACATCTGTTTCCTACTCTTAAAGAACACACTTCATCTGCACTAAAAGTGTTACCAACTAAATTTATGGAACACTTAGGCCCACTAAGCATCTCTGTAAATCTCTACTCAGCCCTTTAGCAGAAAAGGGTAGGGAAAGAATACATCATGAAAGCCAGTGAAGGATCTGAGTGGCAAAGTAACTTGGATCATCCCAAATGTCACACTCTTATGTAAAAAAGAACTGACACGTTCTCATTTGTAAGAGATATTAAAAGAAGGCAAGATGAATTTTAAAAAAAGTTTTATTATACAAAATATGATTCAAACCTGGGAGAGCTCTTCTACAGTTGGAAGAGTTTTGTCCAGTGACTTGTACTTCCATACATTTTTCCACAAGGCCAGGATAACAAGGCTCCTTAGTCCCAATTCCTTCTTAGCCAGGGTGTTGGGGAAAAAAAAACCACAATGTAGCAGCATCAAAATCTTATTTATTCTTTGTATTCCAAGAATTGCTGAAGCCTTTTCTTATGTTCTGTAGACACTTGCACTGCACTAAAACAAACAAATGCAGCACATAAGGTTATACATTCAACGCAATACACTGCAAAAATAAAGCCTCATGCCAAAATTGAGTATACATTGAAATCAACAGTTACACTGAAGCTACGTTCTGGAAAACCCAGCTGCATGAGAAGCCTACATTCCAAGACAGAAAGAGTACATTAACCCTTAAAACTGTCAGTTCTCAACAGCTTCCACTACTACTACTATTCTTCAGTCCAGGAAACCTAGCCTACTTCCTTACCTTTAAACACACACAAGCAATTGTTCAACTCGAACAAATGATTTAGGTAAGAGAATCTCTTCAAATGATCTCTCTGTATATCAGCACTTGCAAACTTGAGTGACATTTCATCCCTACAGGGATGCACGGACTTTTGTCCCACATATTCAGAGGCCAGATATGAAAATCTGCCAGCTACAAGAGCAGCTGAGCAAGAGCCATCAGATCAGACAACCAAGCAGCAAGGGAATTTGATTATTTGGACTCTGCACAGGATTCTCTTCCTACAGAACAGACAATTGTCACAAGTAGCTTTGCTTTCTTTTCAACAGCTCAGATTTAGTATTTGTGGCCTGCTTCTAAAGAGTCCATGAAAAGTCATTAACAAAAATTGCCCAGGAATCTATGAATAATAAGTTTCTAAAGGGGACCTAATACCTACACAAGAATTTAAGGTTCCACAAGTAAGAAAAACAAACCTAAAACACCATGTTAGAATAACGAGCAGAGGGGATTCTTGCCCAAACTTCCCTTTTCACAGGTCACATTAAGTAAAACTACATTCAGTAAGCAAACAATCATGAAAGAGTTCTTACTTCAAGTGCTCTCCAAAGACAGCAGTTATCCGGTACAGGGCTGTTTTCAGAGATGCTCTAAGTGCAAACCGTAGAGTTTTATAGGAGGTATCCACCAGACTTCCTGACACCCTGGGGGGCTTGCTAGAAACATGAGGCAGTTTGAAGTGTCTGTCTACAACCTGATTGAGAGACATGTGGATGAACTTGTTCAATCATTTCATAACGTAACCAGCAACATGTTTATGTCAAACAAAGCAAAAAGAAAGTACAAGTTCAGAAATTCCACCAAGGCACACAGAAATGGATTGGACACTGAGCTTGACCTTGCATTTCCTGGCCATCAACAGGAGCATTGAACCAAGTTCTGTGAAATACAATTCTCTGCAGCACAAATACAATTCTGTCCTGTATTATTACTTGCTTCTTTCACAAACAAGGTTACTGGCTTTTTCTTCTTCCCCCTGTTCTTGGAATAGATGACTTATATTGAAGAACATTAATAACCTCTAAATTCTTTCCAAGAATCTTGATTAAGGCAGTGTAAAATGATTATGTCAATAGGAAACACGTAGCCTTGGAAACAAATCTGGATTACTTCTTTTAAATACACATTACACACACATCAGTAATTTGAGAGTAATGTCCTAGCATTAGTAGAGAAACACCATGCAGATCTTATCTCCTGTGATTTGCAATGTCTCCAGGCTGCACCAGGAATTGTGTACAGCAAATTAAAGATTAAATCCTAACTGTGCATTGAATATAGCATCATAATTGCTGCACCCCTGAAATAAAGTCTAACTGAGCACGTAGCTCAGTTAAATTTAAGAAATGACACATTCCATTAAAAGCATGCTTTCTAGTTTGGCATTTTAAAAAACTACCAGGGTTTTTATTCAGCTGATTCACAATGCACAGAAAGGCAACCAGCTGTTTGGTTTAGATTAACAGCAGAAGTTACACTGGTAACAACTTGAATGTTACAACTGGTCCGCAAGGTAAAAAAACAAAATGAACTCAACTCCTTTTCTCCTAAACTCATTCTGCAGTAAGGAAAAGGTAACGGTTTTTACCTCCTGAAGGGTCAGTAAGGTATTCAGGATAGCTGGCAGCGTAGTTTGAACAACTCCAAACTGGTCCTCAGTAAAGGAGGCTGCTACCAAATGAGACAGACCTTTAAAAAGAGAAGTTTGGTATCATTACTGAATCCTCAGCTTCTGAAGCACTGACAAGGATCACAGGTTTGCCTGAAGACTCCATCAGTGTGGTGGAATTCTTCAGGACTGGCTGCAGCCAAACAACAGCTGCCTCAGCTTTGGCTTGCTTCAGGACTAAACCAGCCACTGGTTTAAGAGAGGTTGAGGTTGAGAAGGCAAGAGGGATTATATATGAAATACATTTTAAAAAGCATTGGCTCCCTCTTTCCCCTGCTCTGATCAGAGCTGTACATGACATCAACTGTTTCACAATTCTTCTAGCCACAAACAAACAGTTCCAGATCACTTCACTTTCTTTGTTCAGCTTGTATGAGAACTCTGTTACTCTGAACCCTTGATTTACCTTTGAATCCCTTCTCATATTAAAAAAATGCCCTTAGTTAGAACACCAATGCTATCTGTTTAGGAATCTCTCATGGGATCTCAAAACTAACAAGTGAATTAGACCTTTATTCCTGTCAGTACCTGAACTGCAGCGGGGTTTTTGTAAAGTAGATTCAAAGATTTTTCTTCCATTACATTTTAAAGCACAGAGCCCCCAAAACCTGGAATCAGACCCTTTTAGTTTGTAGTTCCACAAGCCAACAGAGTGGATCCCCGGGAATAGGAACAGCTTACCTTCCAAAGCCCAGATGTGCATTTGGGCATCAGAGAAGACAGCTTGGATGGAGGCTTCTGGGTGCTGAGAAGAAATCAAAGCATTCTGAATGCACTGAGAAACAGTATCACCAAAATTGCAGGTTTCAATTAAGGTATTACACATTTGATAGGGTCATGTCTCTCCCCTCAGAAACGACCTGCAAAGCTGACACCTCTCGGGGAATTCCCAAAGAAATCTGATCTTTTAAGAAACTAAAATTAGTTTGGGACAGGACTTTCCACAAAGGAAAACCATAAAGAATTTATTTGCTACATTGACCTAACAAAAAACAGTTAGCTGCATTTTAAAGTTAACTAGAAACCATGACACTTTCCAATTAGTTGTGTTTTACTATTACGTGATGCCTTAAGTAAAAAAGCAGTTTATCAGATGAGTTTAAACAAGTGTTATTCTTCTCTTTTATGCAGATAAAATATAATCCTGCTACAAAACTCACACAAAGCAGAAAACCTTAGATTAAAAGGGTTTAGAACTGTTACTGTATGCAAAACGTAGTGCCACAGCAGAACCCATACACTCATGCATTTCTAGTCCATGCTGCACAGTCACAAACCCTAAGATCATGATTACCTTGCTGAAGAAATACATTATCAGCACACGTTTTGACAAGAAGGTTTTTATCTGAAAAGAAACAGAAGATTAAAAACATCCTCTATATTTATCTAAGGTAGGTACAATTGGCCCTACCATCTTCACACAGTATAAGGGGACTGAGGGGGGGGGATTTTTCTTATGTAAGTAACTGGAGAAGGAAGTATTCATTCAAAAACCCTTGAAAGTTCTTCTGGAGGAGAGAACACCTAAGCTGCACTGGCTGTAACCTATCTGTACAGCAATTTTACTTTACCTGTTCTTGCTTGTTCTGAAGCCATGTGTAAATAAATCTTGGCTGTACTGCCTCATGGCCAGCTTTTGCAGCAGAGAGCTCTGGGAAGGATTCGTGGTGGGAACCATTCATGTGCAGATCTACAGAAGAAATACAATATCTTCAACAAAACTGGTTGCTGTCACTTTAATCCTCAAGATACAGATCTCTATTGACACAGCTACTACACTCCTGACTATGAGGATAAAAACAGCGCAGTCAAAAAGCATCTACCTGTAACTGACGTCCACAGCTTTGGGCCCCTCCTTATAACATAAGGACTTTGGGCTGATCCATGCCAAGGAGACTTTACATCCACAATTCCCATCTTGCCATTTAAAGCAGGTGAGCTGAAAGGTGAACCAACATCAGACCCTGGCGATGCCTTTAAAGACATTAGGGATGATTTAACCATTGAAGACATGGAAGCTCTGGGAATGATATTCGATCTCTGTGACTGGAAAAACATGCCTTCTGTCGCAACAGCTCCTGACAACAAAGAACACACTGCATGAAGACAAACAGGCTGGTGCAGGTGAAATAAGAGATGAGTTTGCTATTGATTACTATTTCAACAACTTCTCTATCATCAGAGCCTTTATTAAAGAACATTGTTACCATTGTGGTCTTGCAAATAAGTACACATCAGCATGAGTACGAAGTGTTTTAGTTCATCAGTTTAAGAACAGCAGGTAATGAAAAGGATTCTTATGGATCTATTTATTTTTCTACTTTTGCTAGGCATCATTACTACACCCCGATATATATCTATATATATCCTAAATAAAAGCACACTGTATCTATAAAGTGTGCTTTTAGGGTTAAGAATGGCAATCCTTTCTGATTCTGCTCGGTTTGTAAGAAAAGTCAGATCATCTCAAAATCCAAGGAACAGCAGCACTAGGAGAAATTCAACTCTGACATCCCAACAGTCCCCTGCTGTTCCCAGGGCACCAGTATCCTAGGCACTAACTGCTAAAGGATTCAATTAGTGGCACCCCTCGTGCCAACACTGCTCTGCTGCCAGGAATGATGCCCACGTCTGGCATGTAAAGCACCTGGAATGCTTGCAGGCTCCAAGAATCAGGCTGGCTTTTCTTATACTACAGTGATATTAGTGAGTCACACAAACATATGCTTGTCTGTGGGAGTGCTGATCTGCTGGAGGGTAGGGAAGGCTCCACAGAGGGATCTGAACAGGCTGGATCCATGGGCAAGGGCCAATTGCATGAGGTTCAACAAGGCTCAGTGCTGGGTCCTGCACTTGGGCCACTATCACACCATGCAATGCCACAGGCTGGGGAAAGAATGGCAAGCTTTTGCTGCTTGGCAGAAAAGTGAGCCCAGGTGGCCAAGGCCAATGGCATTAGAAACAGTGTGGCCAGGAGGGCTAGGCAGTGATTGTGCCCCTGTACTCAGCACTGGTGAGGCTGCACTTCAAACCCCATGTTCGGTTCTCGGCCCCTCACTACAAGAGAGACATTGAGGTGCTGGAGGGGGGCCAGAGAAGGGCAATGGAGCTGGTGAAGGGCCTGTAGCACAGGTGTGATGGGGAGAGGCTGAGGAGAATGGGGCTGTTTAACCTGGAGATAAGGAGGCTCAGGGGAGTCCTTACTGCTCTCTACAACTACTTGAAAGGAAGATGGAACAAGGAGGGGGGTCTGTCTCTTCTCCCAGTTGAGAAGCAATAGGACAAGAGGGAAGGGCCTCAAGCTATGCCAGGGAGGTTTAGACTGGAGATTAGGAACAATTTCTTCCCTGGAAGGGTTGTTAAGCATTGAACATACTGCCCAGGGAAGTGGAGTCAACATCCCTGGAGGTATTTAAAAGACATGCAGACATGGCACTTTATGGCATGGTTTAGTGGTAGACTTGGCAGTGCTGGATTAACAGCTGGACTTGATTATCTTAAAGGGGTTTTTTTTGACCTAATCAATTCTATGATTCTGTATTCAAAGTCCCTATAACAACAAAACAAAGACTGATTTTACCATCTAAACTAATCATAAGAGCAGCTATGCAAATTACAGAGCATCCCTTGGCAAGACTTAACTTCTCCCTGTACTAGGTTACCAAATCAGGAATAATTAGACTTTCTTAATTCATGCAAGTGTGGAAAAAACATTGTACTGAACATAACACCATGCAAAGCAAACAGAGTAAAGATGATCTTTCCAAGTTTTCCAGTTATTTTAGATTTCTTCAACAAGAATACCTTAAATTCAACGGGGAAGAGACTGTGTTTGCATTTATTTGCAGAAAACCCCATGCCTCATTTTCCCCATACAACTTAATTGAGACTAATGTGCCTATGTAATCCATTGATACTTTCCTGCTTTATGAACTGTTATGAGTGTTTCCTCACATACCTGGAGTCTGCGGAGGTATTTTCAGCTCTCCTGCTGGCAGCTTTGCTCTCCCATTTGCTGCTGCAGCTTCCTGCTGTGCGATCAGCCTCTGGGTCAGATCACTCAGAAGATTCAAACACTCTCTTGATATTGCAGCCCAGTTGTGAGGGTGCCCACCTAGCAGCATGCACACAAAAGGAAACTCAGCAGGAGTGTTTAACCCACATGCTCATCCTTGTAACTGTTCTGACAGTGCCTGTGTGCTCTCAGCATAAGCTTCGAAGTTATAGTACCAGTCCATTTCTAAGAACACACAGGGCATTTTCACTGTGATAGTGTATTTATACTGAGGGGAAGATGAAAACATGGAAAGATTCTATCCTTCTGCCAATGGATAACTCCAAAAAGACTTTAGTGAAACTTGCTAAGCAAGCAGAAAACAGGCAGCTCTGCCCATCGGATTTAAAAATCACTAAACAACCAAAATGAACCAAGTAGTATCAATGGTGATGGTAAACAGTTCTGAAATAGTACAAACACTAGAATTCCTGATAAGGTGGAACAAAAAGTTCCTGAAGGCTTCTAAGCAGTTTTCATTGACCTTCTCTTTGTATATCTTTATATATAGCAAGAGGCTGACGTACTAACTAAAATTACAACCGTTGTTTGCTTTCACAGCTCCAGTGGTGACTCACTATTCGTGCTTGATTTTACTTCATATCTCAATGTTACACTTTCATATGCATCTGCTAGATTATTCAGTTTGGACTATGGGACTGGTGGTGTCAATACCCTAAGACCTGTGTTTCCTCACAGCTGTCATTCAGATCAAACAACAGGCAGCAGTGTTTGTCAAGTTTTGGAGATGAAACAATATGAATTTACATTATTAAGCATCCTTTTGGAAAAGGCACCATAGGGATGAGGTCTCCTGGCTTATGTGGCATGCCTCATGGTGTTAATGACTTGTAAAAGCATTTGGCTAACACTACTACAAGAAAGAAAAAGAATCACCAGTAGTTTTGCAATTACCTGGCTGACTAAGGCTAAAGACTTCCTGTCGTCGAACAGGGGAATACTGGGAAAGTAACATCAAGTCTTGTAAGGCTAAAAACTACAAAGAAAGGAAAATGTTTTAGTGCATGCAAAGTCCAATGCATTTCCTTAAAAAAAAACAAAAAACACCCAAAGGTAGGTATCCATACAATAGCAATCCCTAACAAAGAGAGAGTTCACACAGAATAAAACCAGCCACGTAACAGAAAAAGAAAGGAGGCAAATGACCACAGACATCCCCCCAGAACCACTCTGGATGAAGCTGCTGAGTTAGCCAGAGCTTCAGGTAACTCTACTTTGGAGTTAAAGAAGATCTAACACTACTTTTTATCTTAACAGCTAGCTACTCAGACAGAAAGAACCTAAGACACAAAAAGGTCTAAGGAAAGAACTGATCTTGCAAGCTAGAGCCCTCTATGCAGTGTGCTGTACAGTACCAGACCTAACACTGCTTTTCCATGTGACGAAGTAATTAATGTGGCAAACCAAAAATAACCACATAACTCACACTAAGTAAAACCCAATTATAAACTAGACTCTTTAGTAACTGCTGAGATTACAAATTAGACTTTCTCTCCCTTCAACTGTGCTACGCTTGACTCTTCCCCACCCACCCTTTGATAATGCAGCAAAGCTTAAAAAAGGATTCAAATGGGCTGCAGCCTCATCCATCTCCAGTATTAGAGATCTGTAAAATCAGTAAATGTGGATTTTGAATGCACAGAAAAATATCTTCATCCTTATTTACATAATACTTTTTGAAGTCTCCAATTTCTAAGTATTAGAATCTGTGAATCCCATCAATGATTACCATAGTCAGACCAGATTTACTCTTCCTTACTCACAGGTTTTAAGCAGCTTTTCAATATTTTCTTTTTAAAGAAAGAAACCCAAATTACAGCATAAACATGGAAATATCTTTCTAATGTCATGAGAGAGCACCCATGTAAGAGCTCAAATGTAAGCAGCAGGGGCAAAGTGTTGAGAGAGTACAAAGGTGTGACAGAACACCTGCTTATCTGACAAGCTGAAAGAGTTTTCAGAAAGCCTGAATATCACTAACCTGTTTGTTTTACATCAGTACACACTAATATAGTTCTGTTGCAGACAGATCTTGCCTGTAACTACGCTAGTCTGCCCTTGCCTTAGAGTTAACAGCGTGGTGAACACCAGCAGATGTCACTACTAAACCGATTTTCACCATTAAGCATCACTTCCTCCTGTTCTGAGGCAGCTTTTTAAAGAACTAACTCCCCAGTTAAAATAACTGGTACCTGGAAGATCTGATTGCACACTTTGAGAAACAACCTCTCAGCACACACCTCGCTGGGAAGATGGTGGGAATTCAGTTACCTTTATAATGAGGGGAGGATTGCTGTTTAGGATTTTAGGCAGGCTCTGGTCGGTCTCCTCAGCAAAAGTTGGCTGGACAGGAAAATGGTGTGTCTAAATACAAACATCAGAAGTTGTGTTATACAGAGCAAAACAGAAGAAAGCCTTACGAGAGATGATACCCAAGCTGTTACTTGTCAGATGACGAACTACAAAAGCACATAAAAGCTTCAACTGACTGTAAACTAGCCTGAAATTTCTAAGATAAAAAACAAAAGGATTTTACTCCTTATGTTTAAAATTAAGAAACCTTAGGGAAAAAAAACAGGCATCTTCAAATTCCTTCCATGTACACAAATAATTTATAGTTAGGGGCATCATATCAATATGAAAAGAAATTCCTCTAACTGGGTTAGAGCTTGTTAGAGCAGGGGTTACTGAGCCTGGAGAAGAGAGGGCCCTGGGGAGCCCTCTGAGCAGCATTCAGTGCCTAAAGGGGCCTACAGAAATCTGGAGAGGGGCTTTGGACAAGGGCCTGCAGGGACAGGACACAGGGGAATGGCTTTAACCTGCCAGAGGGGAGACTGAGATGAGCTCTTAGGCAGAAGGTCTTCCCTGTGAGGGTGCTCAGGCACCGACACACGGTGCCCAGAGAAGCTGTGGCTGCCCCATCCCTGGCAGTGCTCAGGGCCAGGTTGGACACAGGGGCTTGAAGCAAGCTGCTCTAGTGGAAGGTGTCCCTGCCCGTGGCAAGGGGTTGGAACTGGATGAGCTTTAAGGTCCCTTCCAACACAAACCATTCTAAGGTTTCCCAGGAAAAAACAGTGAAACCATATTCAGGAACAAGACTGAAATCAAAGCAGCACTGCCTATCTTTAACAGTGTAACCACTCTGGTGAAGTATTAAGGGTTCTTTTACCAAATAATAAAAGAAATTAATTTTTTTTGCACTCTTTCACTGATAAGCTAAGGAATTCGTATTTTTATTTTATTCTGTGTTTTAATGGAATTTCTGTCTTGTAGCTACAACATTTACAAAGTAAATAGCAGTGCTTACATCGTATCAAACATTCCATCGAGCATTGCATCTATTCAATGCTATTTAACATGGATCAATTTGGGCACAGACTAGGGGTCAGTTTTGCATTACTGCACTCATTACACGTAGCCTAGCTTTATTCTCCTGTTTCCAGCCTGGGAAATTGAAACTGAAGGCAGCAACTGCTTTCAAAGCATTAATGAAGTGACTTCATGGGGTCTAAGTTTGCACATATTCACGATCAGATTAGGAGGTTTTTTTAGCTCATTCAAAAAATCATCATGTGGATAGAGCAATCTTTCGTTGATTAGTCAAAAGGACAAGACCTATTTGATACCTTCACAGCTGGATGTTTCTTTTGTCTTTCACAGTTTTATACGCAAGACAATAATTAACATACATCGACACACAGTGTTCACTGGTGCTTCAACTACTGCCCTTTGAAACAAGATGTTCACACCTCAGAGCTGGTTTTGGAGCTGTCTACTGATTCTGACACATCATTACACCAGTTATGCTTGACCCGTTGTTAATCTTTGCTGTTGCAGAATGACTTTAAGAGCAGAACCATAGAGTTCTGGAGGACTGTGCAAGCAAGGCAGGGGGTGGCCCCCACAGGTGGCCAGAGACCGGACCTGGGAAGAGAATGTGGAGGAAGCTGTGGGGGCTAACCAATACTGTTATGCCAAGAAGGAGTGGCTGAATACCACTCCTATATATGTGTGAACTGCGTCACAAATAAACTAGAAGTTGCTTATCACCCATATTGGGTTGGCCTGTCTGCTTCTCCTCGCCGCTTACAAATGGCGCCCGAACAGGGACATGGATGTGAAGAGTTTGATGGAATGTGTTGTATGAGTCTCTCTGATTATGCTAATTCGATGCACGCACAGCTGAGAACCCTGGCTCAGCTTACCCAGCAATAGTAAATGAGCAATATCCTAAGAATAACTAGATGGTTGTCTTCACCGGGCATTACAGGTTGAGTCAAACACTGTTGTTTGAAGCATTGCACTTATGTATTACTGTTAGGTTAATCATCGTAGCTATTAGACTTGTTTATAGATGTGTGATAAAACAGGTGAACAGAATAACCCATAATGCCTTGCTTGCACAAAGAAAAAGGGGGGAATTGTTGCAGAATGACTTTAAGAGCAGAACCATAGAGTTCTGGAGGACTGTGCAAGCAAGGCAGGGGGTGGCCCCCACAGGTGGCCAGAGACCGGACCTGGGAGGAGAATGTGGAGGAAGCTGTGGGGGCTAACCAATACTGTTATGCCAAGAAGGAGTGGCTGAATACCACTCCTATATATGCGTGAACTGCGTCACAAATAAACTAGAAGTTGCTTATCACCCATATTGGGTTGGCCTGTCTGCTTCTCCTCGCCGCTTACACTTTGCTGCATTGCAGTCACAACAACCAGAACTTTCGAATTAAAGCTAACATTCCAACAAGCACCATGTGCCATTTAATTCCATAAGAGTGCTTTGCATCAATATCTTGAGCTAGGATTTACACTTCACTTTATTTTCCTACTAATCTGTAGACTAGGAATCTTTAAAAATGAAAATCAAGTTAGGTGACCTTTTTTTTCCCCTCTGTATTCTTATAAAGAAATATCTGGATTTGTTAAAAAAGATCAAATCTTCTCCAATTCTTTGTTGGCAAGATTTATGTCCCACCCCCCCCTTCAATCACAATCACAGTCACACATTTATTCCAATACGATTCATTATATATTTAAATGGTCTTTTTTTAGCCATATTAATTTGTAACTTTATGACTGAATGAAAAAGCACAAGTGTCTTAATTCCCAGGATTGCTCGAAGACTATTTCAATACCAGAGCCTGAATTAGAGTAACACATCTCTGCTTTGGAGAACAGTGTGCTTTGATGGTTTGCCTAAATTTGAGATTTCCAGAGCTTAGCTCCCAGAAAACAGATACAATTTTGTTCTCTTTCCTATTGTAAAACTCAATTCAGAGCTATGCAGTTTCTGGATATTATCTTCCCATGTAACCTGCATCTGTGTCACACTCAAATAAAACATCACTGCATGGATAGACATGCAGAAACCAAGCTAGCGAGCTCTGCACTGGCTCATTTGTCTTGACACCAAGAGAGGACAGAGAACATGGTACAGACTCCATGAAGCACAAAGTGGTTTTTTTGCTTCTGCACTGATTTAGCAGCAAACATGAACAGGAGAAGGGGAACATGGAAACAGAAGTAGAGTAAGAAAAGAAGGTGGCAACAACAAAGCATTAATTTTGGACGAAGCCTTGGGTGAGACTGTTTAGTGTGAGGTGTCCCTGCCCACGGCAGGGGGGTTGGAACTGGATGATCTTAAGGTCCTTTCCAACCCCAACTATTCTATGATTCCAATTTTGTAAGAAGCACAGGCTTGTCTTGCTATAACGAGAGAAAGGGAAAGCCAATACCCAGATCTCTCTCAACTGTTATCAGCTATTATCTGTAGTACATGCTTTGAAAATTCAAGAATTCATAATAATAATAATAATAATAATAAAACCCCTTTTGAAAAGAAAGCATTATCTGAGAAACACTGATATTGCACCTTTAGCAGTCACTAAGTACTAACCTCTGTAGCATAGATTTTGAAGAGTAACCATGCAATGTACCAGGTAATCAGAAGAAATACGCCACATAACCAGGTATGGTAAAACAAGGAGATATCCAATAAGCCAGTCAGAGTGTCAAGAGGATGCAATTTACTGCAGAAATAAAATGGCAAGGAGATAAGTTATTTCTATTATGGAAGATGTCTATATTAAGCTGTTACAGTAGCAACAATAGCAAGAATGGAAGTTGCATCACCTTTTTGGCAACAATTTCTTACAGATGTTTGAGATACTGAAAAAGAACTGGTAACTGTGATGACATGAAGAAAATATTATGAAATTAAGGAAAAGAAAACTCAGGTACTAAGACTCTAGCTTCCCTATTTTAAAACAAATAACACATATATGCAATTTGGACAAATAAGCCTTTCTAATACTTTAGAGACTTAGATATGCAGGAGAGAGCATTTCTTAATGCCAGGTGGAATGGGGCTTGCACAACATGGTCTAGGGTGAGGCGTCCCTGCCCATGGCACTGGGGTGAAACTGGATGATCTTAAGGTCCTTTCCAACCCAAACCATTCTATGATGATTCTGTGGTTTCTACAAGGGGTGTTGGTTCCTTTTGGATTAATTTCAGAAGTACCTAAGGCTGCCCATGTTCTCTGTGGGGAGAGAAGGAAGAGTCCTACTATACATAGAGGCAGTTGCTGAGCTGAACTTCTTCAAAGGGACTGTGAGCAATATTCTCCCCCAGGTGTTCAGCACAGTGTACTACCTACCTGTCTATATGAAGATCCATCGTGGTACTTATCCATACCTTTGGGATGTAACCTAGGGGATCAAAGAGAAGCACTGAAACAAATATGACACTGCAAAACATACACAAAAGGCCACAGAGAAGACAAAAGCATGCATGGATACAGACAAGAAACTGGTCTTGTAACACTTGTGTACCAGGAAACAATCTGCCTTTGGGATTTTTTTGGTTAGGGTGTTTCCTAAGAAATAGAAATAAGAGAATAAAAAAAAAGGCCTTAGGCCAGCAACTACATACTGAGAGCTGCAGACCTTATCTTTTATTGCTGGCTTCTCAGCACTGAGTTACTTGTGCTCCCTCACCAACAAAAGAAGGTTAATAGCAATTTAATATTAATTCTCACTATAGCTCAGGCAGCAGCAAAATGCTTTTAAAGACAATGGAAACTGATATACAAGCACCATGCCCCTAATTTATCCCCAACGTAAATAAAGTGGAAATAATTCTAGCCTATTTTGACATCATTTAGGAGGATAATTATAGCCATTAAAAAATCCTGATTTTTAGGAAGTCCTGTGCAATCCTCTTCACCAGCACAGATTGTTTTTTACTGTAGTCTTAAAGACCAAACTTCATTGTCCTATGGGAGGCAGCCTTTGTCTCCTCAGCTTCCTCTAAATAATGAAAAAGGCACTTGAGAATAAAGCCAAACTGCTAACTTTTACTTTTAAAACAGTGAAATATAGTAACATTACAAATAGTGAAGTCATGCCCACTGCTGGTACATCAGGTACAGCTCTGTGCCACTACATTTCCAATACCAGGCCATGGAAGGAACAGTTCAAAGCATGGAGATGTTTGTCCATGTTAAAAAATTATCTGGTAATATTTACAGCAAAAATGGAATATAAATTACAGGCCAAAACTTGGGGTTTTTGAATTGCACTATGTTTTCAGAGTTATAATCTTGTTATGACACATCAGGACTGGTTTGTAAACAGCAGCCCAAGCATCAGGTTTTAAAATGCGTACTTGTCAACCACCAGCTGATTACTATTTGTTAGCTTCTCTTATATGAAAGTTATTTCACAGCTGCCTGCAACAAGATGTCCTGCCCAGAAGAGACCACCAGAGATGACAGCTTATCTTTTGGTACAGTGACAGACTTCAAGTTATAGAACTACTGTTCCCCACTCTCTTCTCTTTAGAAGAACATCATCTTATTATAATGTGACCCGCTAGACAATAAATTCTTATAGGATGTGTGTTAATCTCTTTGAAGAAGAGACAATTTTCACATGCTAAACAAGCTTAGGTGAGGCTGCAAGAACTGACATCATACAAACACTGCTGTACAAGCCCCATTACCTTTTAGAGAGATGCGAGATCTCTATTTGCTTAAACAAGACAATGTGCCTTCAGGAAGTTACCTGGAAGGCTGAAACAATAGTATAACAGGCCTGATGGAGTAAATATAAAAGCATTCAAAAGAGATAAGAGAATCCCAGGAACACTTACCAAAAAAGTAATACGTGGCACAGAAGTTTCTAACAAAATAGAGTGATTCCACACAACTGTGTCTGATGAGGAGGGGCAAAGATCTTCTGAAACGCAAGTACTTGTATTGCTAAAAAACCAAACACAAAATAATTTTGTAATCTGCATTCCTGACAAATTAATGAGTAAAATAAAAAGCACAAGGTACTTGAAAACCTGAAGCCTAGATGAATTTAGCAGGTTAATTTAATGGAATTCCAAGTGTTACACCTACTGCTTCTTCTCCCAACCTCTGCCATTTTATCATCGCCATTGCTTCTCACCCTTTTTCCTACCTGTTGCAGTATGAAATGAATGACAGGGTAAATTGACTCTAAACACAGGTGAACAGACTAGAAGGATGCTATCATAGATTAAACATATCATTTTGTTGATTTTATTAGATTTCAGTTACATTAGACACAATCCATTAAAATATAGGGAAAATTCAGACAAGGATGAATTAGAAAGTCAGTAATCCTCCAGGCACTAAAACCACTGACACCATACAAATAATTCTGTATCTTTCCAAATGACTAAAGCAACCCATCTGACACTACATGGAAACGAAACCAAAGTGATTTAATTTTATTTTACTTGGTTAAGTTACAT